ACATACATACATACATACATACATACAATACACACATTAACAACACATAAACATACATACACACAAAATATACATACACATATATACACACACAAAATATATATATATATAATCCATATATACTCATATATATATATTCACACTCATATACATATACACATACCTTGATATATCTTGGAGATATCTTGGAGGAAGACAACGTTGGAAAAAAATTGGAGAAGATTAAGATTTTTTTTTTGGAAACTTCAAAGTCTGAAGAAAGAAGACGAAGTCGGTGCTTTTATTTCGTGTTGCGACGGAAATTACCGTCGCCATCCGTCGCAAAACGAAATAAAAACCGCGAAAATTTGAAAATTTTCATCGAAAATAACGAAATAAATGAAATTAGTATTTGCGACGGAAATTTCCGTCGCCATCCGTCGCAAAACGAAAAAAAAACCGCGAAAATTTGAAAATTTTCATCGAAAATAACGAAATAAATGAAATTAGTATTTGCGACGGAAATTTCCGTCGCAAATCCGTAGCTAATTCTGAAAAATAAATAAATTAAATTAAAAATAATTAAAATTAGCATTTGCTACGGAAATTTCCGTCGCAAATAATGTTTGTTATTGCGACGGCAACGTCTCCGTTGCATTCCGTCGCAAATTTTCGACGGATTTTACGACTCTTTGAGACGTAAAATTTTTTTCCGCATTCTGTCGCTAAATCGTCGTATTCCGTCGTAATTTTGTATGCGACGGAATTTTCCGTCGCAAGTTCCGTAGCTATACGAGAATTTTCTTGTATGAAATAACACGTAAGGGGCTTGATCATATTTAATTTTTGTTTTTACCTGAAAATGATACTCCTTCTCTGTTTCAAAATAATTGTTGTTTTAGGTTATTTCATATTTTTTTAGAAAAGAAAGAAAAAGTCACATATATCATTCTTTAATGATAAAAACAATGTTATCATTAATAATTTATTGGAATTTGATAGGGATAAAATTAGAAACTATTGTAAAAAAATGTCTTGAAAATGTAGAATGACAAATATTTTGAAACATAGAAAATAATCTAAAACTATAAATATTTTGAAATGGAGGGGTATCGTGATTCTCGCATGCTTAGCATATACCCATACTGATACACACTCGAGCTTAAGAACACACGTTCGTTGGTGATTCTCGGTAGTGAATGGTGGATAGGTTTCAGAAGTTAGTCTCTGCCTCTAAGGCACTCGATCTTTGCTTCTAAACCCAAAGGTGACGTGAATAGATGGAGGAAGGGATAGAGAAATCCTCGGACAGACCAAGGATGGCTCGGACACACCAAGCAAGAATCACTAGCAAAACCCGTCTAAAACTTTATCAAACCCTGGTAAAATAATTTTTTAAACTATGTCGCGTATGAATGATTCTAAATCTACACAACTACAATATCAAGAAGGAAGCTATATTTATTTCCCATTTGATCAATAATATCGTGTGTGAATGATTCTAAAGATACTTGATCCTTTCATATATATTTATTTCCCATTTGATAAAAAATAATGATATTCAACTTATTGCTAAAAGAAGGAAGTTATTAATTGATTTACGTGGTTTTTCTATGTAATATATGTTTTAACATGACAGAAAACCTAGGACGAGACTTGAGGGCCAAAACGACAGATCGAAACGAAAAGGAAAGTGCAAGAATCTTTGCCAGAGAAAGCGAAATCGAACGGTAAAACACGTTCTCGAGCATTGTTATCTTCCTCTCGATTATCTTCTATGGAACTTTCTTTGAACTACGCAAATTATTGTATCATTATTGCTAATCTAAAATTCATAAATTATGTTTACGTATAGATATGGTCTTTTTCTACATTTTTTTTGGACTTCCAATGACAGCGTATCTTTCTACAGATTTCTTCGTAAAAGCCAAACGTATGAGACTTGATTTCGGGCCAGGGAACTATATTTAGAAGAACCAAGAAAAAAAAACCTGCGAAAGCGACATTTATGATATGACGGTCGAAGTTTCAAGGAACCATGGCGGCATAGATGAATATAATGGGCTTCAAGATTTGGGCTTTGGAAGAAATAAGCCCAAATAAGATTGGCCCAATTCCATATAAGGAAACCCTAGTTCACAACAAAATATTTTAGTGAAAATGATTCAACAAAACCCATTACGTTTATTCAAACAACTATATTAATGAAACTCTATTTTAGAACACATCATTGTCATCAATTAATAATATTTGTACCGTTCAGTTATCCACGCTAATATTAAACTCCTTTATTTATCAATTTTTGGATTGTGCTTGCTCCATGATGTTTTCAATGAGCAATGTGATGTTGGAATGCGAAGAACCACCTTCTTCCAAAGCCTTGTTTGCTAATTCTCCAAGCTCTTTAGCTCTTCTTCTTCTTCATTATCTCCCATTAGGTTATCCACCGCCTTTCTTACATTTTCTCTGTCCACCATCACTCCTATCTCCTCTTCTTTCCCCCATCTCATAGGCTTCTCCACTCCGATCTTCAACCCGGCCTTTAGTACTTGCATTATCAGTTTCTCATTGCAAAATTAGTCGGAAAATAGAGGCCATGTAAGCAGTGGAATCCCCGCGGTGATCCCTTCTAGGGTCGAGTTCCATCCACAGTGCGTCAAGAACCCTCCGACCGAGCCGTGCGAAAGGACGAGCACTTGGGGGGCCCACCCTCTGATCACGAGCCCTCTTTCTTTGATTCTTTCTTCGAACCCGCTTTCCGAAATCCACTCGTTTAGCTCGTTGTATTTCCCCCATTCTCTTACGACCCAGATGAAGGGTCGTTTTGATTCCTCAAGACCTAGACCGAGCTCCTTGAGCTGAGCTAGAGGAAGACTGCAGATACTGCCGAGGCAAACATAGAGTACCGAACCAGGTTCTTGATCGATAACCGCCTTGTCTCCTCTTTCGACTTTGTCTAACCCTATCTTGTTGCACAAGGAAACAGGTCCGACACACCAGACTTTACCACCCTTTGCCTTCTTGTACTCTCTAACGTAATCAAGCTCTAGTTCTTCAAATGTATTCACAATAACTCACGTACGCCGAGTTATCCGCTTCTATGAGCTTTTCAGTCAGCTCCTTCAAATCTCCTTGAACGCTTTGGAGCACTAAGGCTTGAGGTTTCGTGAACTCAATCGTACCGGGAAAATCAGGCACCCGAAAATACTCTTCTTCAGATTCAATAATGCTCAAAATCCCGCTCTTGCGAACGAGATGAACACACAAAAGGCAGAAGGAGGAGAATCCATGGAAGACAAGCTTTGGAATCTCGAACTTCTTGGCGAGTTTTTCAGTGAAAGGCAAACTCACGTCACCGATTAAGCAGCTCGGCCTCGGGTTCATCTCCTTCATGGCCTCCTCGACTTGCCCTTCGAGCAATTCAGCACCATTGAAGAACTTAACCATCTCAGTCATGGAATCCAACTGGTTAATACTCTCCAGGCCTTGTCCCAAACCGACCTTTTCTGATGGGAAATCCACTTGGACGATGTTGATGCGTGAACCGGAATGGACGGCACGTGTGATGACGTTCTTGATCTTGGCTATGTTGTAAGGTGTTGTGATAATGGTGACGGTCACACCTCGTTGAGCCAAGAGCCGAGCTACGTCGATCAATGGGATCATATGGCCTTGAGCCATGAAGGGAACGATGACAAAGTGAAGTGGACAAAGGTTGTCCCTCGTTGGATAAGTCATTGTATGTCTTTGTTATTTTTTCCTGTCGAATTTTGATCCTTGATTTTTGTGAAGTTAGAAGTTTGCACTAATATATACATATATATATATATATATATTATGTGCGTGATAGAAAAATCTACGGATGGTGATGTAAGAGAGTATGCAAGCAAACGTGGTTGAACAAATCAAAAGATATGATCGTTCTTTTGTTTAGGGAAAGGTCATTTCGGGTTTCGGTTGAGGTACAGTTGGGCTACATCCGGGTTCGTTTATTTCAATTTAAAAAACTAAAATAATTTCACTTTTATATTAAATTCGCTCCATTTCTTTCCATATTTATTTTTTATTGATTAAACACTGTCTTTTCAAATAATTTTTCATTTTCTTCGATTACTCTTTATTCCGTTTTGAAAAATAATGATCATTTGGTTTTTATATTAGATTCGATTATGTTATAATTATTTATTATACGGATCTATTCAATTATTTGATTATTAACTAAATTGATAATTATTGTTTTATTTATTGTTTTTAATTTTGTAGTCCTATTCGGTTATTTTAATCCAATTTACAAAGAAATAAAATTCCAGATGTTAACGTTATTTTCATAATAATTTCAGAATAATTAGATTATTGAGTCAATATATCCCGATCTATGATTCTTTTTCTTGTATTCTGTTTTGTTCTCAAGGAACTGTATATATATATACACACGCACATGATTAAAAGCATGTAGTATTTAGTTAATGCAACAAGTGCGATATTATTATAAATGAAAAGATAAAATATAAAGAAATAAGAGTAAAAAGAGTAATCGAATTTGGATTCCAATTGGCAGTAAAGTGACCCAGAAGCAAATCTAGTCAATAAAGATGACTCGCAAGTCCTGTCCTAATGTCGAATGGAAGTCTTTTTCATTTCTTGCCACGTCATTGACATTTTGTCTAGAAGAATAAACATTCAACTTCTCTAACCATGGTTTTTGACCCCATTAAGTAAATATAAAATAATCGATAAAGGATTAGTCTAAACAATCTAATAAAAAAATATACTGAAAAGTAGATATCGAATTATTTTTTACATGATTTATAAATGTTGACAAATCATTAAATTGATGAAAAAATGTACGTGAAAAAATGGTTTTTTTTTTTCAATTTGTAATTTTGCATGCGGAACTTGTAACTTAACGAAGCTGATATTTTAAATCGACGACTCAATCATCGGATCTCTCTTTGGGCTTTCGATCCAAACATCCTGCAGTTTGCTTCATGCGTGAACGAACGTGGTGTCGTCTTAAGTGCTGACGGAACTCCTCTTCACATGTTCAAATGAGCCATTTGGGATGATCACTATTTGGATTTGATCAATTCTTAGTGCGATCAATATTAGTTTTTTTTTACATGCGGATTGTTATAGTTTGTTATGTTTGTTTCAACTACAAAGATCTCATTCTTATCTTTTCGTATCTGATATATAGGATTGTTAGTTAATACTTACTTGTATATATATATATATATATATATATGATATATCGGTCACTTATTGTTGGAGTTTCTTTTTGCTTCAAGATCTGATTGTAAGATGCCGAAGAAGTCAACACAATTGGATAAGGTCAAAAGAAGTTATTTAGATGGTTATTTGTCAGTTTTATGTTTATGTCTCATCTATTATGTTTATAATGTTTATATGTAACTGTCGTAGAGAAATTAAAGTCTTCTGTTTTCTATTTATAAGGAGTCTGTATGTTGAAAAAAAGAAGTGTGTATTTTTAATAAAAAGTAGAGATATTATTCTGTAAAACGTGTTGAGTGCTCTTGCATATTCAAAGCAGAGAAAGATTCTTCTGAGAGGAATTTGTAAGGCTGAGAGAAATTTGTGAGAGGATTAACAGTGGTATCAGAGCAACTGAAGGATCTTTCTGGGATCTGTAAGGAAGGTTCACAAGATGGATCATACAGAAAATTTGACAACTTCAAATCTTGTGCAGAATGCTCCGATCTTCAATGGCGAGGCCTACCAGATCTGTGTTCCCTTGATGCAGAAGAAAAAATGAAGTGGAAAGGTGAATGGAACAGTTTGCGGTGGTTTTATTACAGTTTTTGTTGATAGACTTTTGTGGAGTTTTTGGTAACTATTGTAAGTTACTTTTGTGTCTTTAAAAGCAAGTGTCGTCGAATTGTATAGATTATTGCAGAAAGTTTTCTGTAATCCTCTCTTTCGAGAATAAATGTGTATTTGTGTGGTAAATAATAAATGGGATTTTATTAAATTTGTTATTTGAGAGTTTCGATTTATAAAAGTTATCACTTATGAATAATAAGAAGAAATATTCCCTCGCTATCTCTCTCAAATACAACCTCCTCTGTTTTCCTTTGTTTCGTTTACGAGTAATAGAGCATTTGCACAACTCCTGTTATTATGGTATCAGAGTTTACATAGCTCTGCTCGATATTTTTTTTATTTCATTTAACGACACACCTTGAACCTCACTATATGTCCTCTCCATCTGAAGATTCCTCGTCAGATTTGTCTGCACCTACTCCTCCATTTGTTTCTCCATCAGATCCGTACTCAAGCCCTCTGTTTCTCCATGCCGCCGACACTTCCAGCACCTCTCTCATCTCTGAGAAGCTTGTTGGTGAGTTTAATTTCAACATCTGTTGGTTTAGTGCTCTATGATGTACTGTTTATGAGCTTTATTTAGATATATTTGATGTATTGATACTTTCTATGGTTTATGAGAGTATTTGATTCATTACATGTTCTTGCATACTAGATGTGTTATGAAATCCATGTATCATTATGAATGATACTTAACTTCCTAGTCTTGTGTCATTATGGGAATGATGACATAATAAGACTAGTATGATGTGTGATTGATGATCATATAGATGATCATAGGTATTTGGATACGATCACAATCATAGGTATTCGTTGGAGAACGGAATACTGGATTGACCCGCATGAGATTGTTACATGGACTAGCGTCATGACTTGAATCTCATATGACGGTTCCATGATTGGATCCTAAGACCTGAGATATCTACGGAATCCAACATGAGGAGTTGTGTACTTTGATTACGTCAAACGTTCTGCGTAACAGGAGGACTATAAAGGCGTGTATCAGGTACGAAACGAATCATGTGCTGGATTATAGATAATCAAGACGGGATTTGTACCTCTCGTAAAAGAGAGAGATATCGCTGGGCCCCTCGTGTGAGCGAGACTGTAGAAATGTGTGGCCGCACTATAGACGAACGTCGTCTATTTCAGACAGTCGAACTCAGTGAACGAGAAAGCAGTCGAATCAGATAAGGTGGCTTGTCCATGCCTTATATTCGACATATGATATCGTGATACAAAAGGATCATCAAACGGAATCATCGTTGGCGTTCGTAGGATCACGAACAAACACTATTCGAGATAGGTAGTCATAGCGTCTTGCTAGAGACCGCTTATGACTTGCGTAACCGAAATAAGAGATTTCGTGTTATACTACTATATCGGATGAGCCTACAGGGTCACACACAATAGGGATGGACAGGTCTAGAAGGTCTGGACCGATCGGTCCAGCTAACCCAGACCGATCGGTCTAGACATAGATCGGTCGGTCCAGAGGTAACGTGTGAGGTCCAGAAATTGTTCCAGACCGATCGGTCCAGACCTAGACCGATCGGTCCAGACGTCGGAATTTACTAAACTCGCTCTAATTAGGGTTTTAAAGGTGGGAAACTTATGGGAACGCCGAAGAACTCTTTTGGCACGAATTTCAGACCCTAGGGAGAGGTTTGGAGAGTGAGAAAGCTAAGAGAAAGATCCCTGAAACCCTTGCGTAAAGAAGAAAGCGTTCTTCAGTCCTAGCAGACAAGTTCCAACCGTTGGAATCCTTTCCGCCGTGTGGATACGTGTAGAGGGCAAGGTATTCTTCCTGCCTACAGTGATCAGACGTGTTCTTCGATTGATACAGGCCCCGGATCGATTGAGGTAAGCTTTCTAACGTTTCTACAAGATCATGCATGATAGGTTTTAGGGTTTCATCAAAATTTTTGTTTTTCATCCGCTGCGCAAACCCTAGAACTGATCTCTTAGGAATTAGATTCGCTCTTGAGATCCCAGGAAAACCCAACAGTGGTATCAGAGCTTGGTTGCTCTGCATCATTTTTGTTAGAACCCGATCACACACGTTATAGGATTTGAATTGTTTGAATCCGTGTTTGCTTTGATGCTATGCATGATTTGATTATGGATCTAGAGTAGATTTTCTGTTTGTTGCATAGTGTGCAAGAGCTTCGAATTCTGAGTTCGCAGGCGAAAACGGGGTCGAATTCGGGTCTGAAACGGGGCCGAAACGACGAAAACGAGATCTGATCACATTTTCGCCTGGACCGATCGGTCTGGTCCTCTGGACCGATCGGTCTAGGGTTTCGCAAGTCCCGGATTGAACGGTCTGCATGCGTAGACCGATCGGTTGGATGTAGACCGATCGGTCTGGACCATTCTGGACCTAAAGGTCTGGACCGACGCAGACCCGAAGACCGAACTGCCTAGACCGATCGGTCTAGGACCCGACGCTTCACCAAAATTTGATTTGCGTTTCGAGATCTGGTTTGAACAATCGTTGCTTAAAACCGATCAACTGTGATTCAGAATAACGTAATTCTCTCTTATGGATGGTCCATAGTGAATGAATGCATGTAACTTAATCAAGATATTAGATATGTTTGATTGAGTGAGAGCTTCGGGATTGGGATTGCATAATCGACTGGATGGTCCATTCGGATTATGAACAATCGTTGCACAGAAACCGATTAGATCTAGAAGCTCTACGAGTAAAGCATTTGTCAAGGCCTCGATCGTACGTGTCATGGGCCATGCCAAAGCTGGGTGTGCCGTGCTATCTTGGTGAGGCAAGATGGAGAAATGGTGGTTCTCATAGCTTGAAAGTAGATGCTTGATCTGAATGAGGTTTCAAAAACCCCTTATTTATGTAATGCTAAGCGTGTACCTCCCATTATTAGAACACCTGTCAAGGCAGCAATCGTCCGTAACACGGGTCATGCC